TAAATTCTCAGCCAAATGGAATTTGATGGGCTCCTGATTCTCAGTGATTCTTATAGTGCGTAATTAAAAATTCCTTTTGTACGTTACCAAGCACAAATTTTAAGACAGATAATACAACTATAAATGTATTTTAAGTATTTTTTCTGTCTTTTTGCCTTTTCTGCTTTTATTCAACAGGCATGATCTGTAACATGTAAAAGATGAAACGTGATCTATGACGTCAAAAAATTGTTTCGTAGAAGGCAACAGGAAGAATAGTGTCATGATCTCAAAAGATCGTGTGAATTATCAGGAATTACTGGAAAGTACATCGATTTTTCAAAAATAAAATTATTTCCTCAAAGGGATACCATAGACGTAAGCAAAAACAATGGTAAAGAAAAAATTGGAAAAGTATTTCTATGTGAGATTTGAATTCTAAATATCTTAATATAGAAATTAATAATAACATAATTTTTCCGAGTTTTGTCATGACTCTCGGTTTTAGTTTTAGCAATTCAGTACTGGCCGCTATGAAATCATAAACAAAAATGTCATTCACGTTCGCTTCTATAAAATGTCTGGCTAAACAGTTTTCAAACCAGGACTGTTTTTACTTTTCTCCTCTGCGCATGTTACGCTCTGGTCATTTCAGTATTTCAGTCGCGGCTAAGTTAAGGATTTCGCGTTTGTCAGTACTTGTAGAGAAAGAGTAATTGTTTCTTATATATCAACGAAATCTAATTAAGAATATGCCTTTGTTAAATACAAATTATATGGCTTTTAACAAAAACATTTAATGGCGAGTGTTCGTATCTTTACACATTTAACTCTTATTGATCGTAATAGACCTTTTTAGCCAGTGTGTTTTGTTTTTCCCATTTCAAACCACGTGATGGTACGCCATGCAAGTACATACACATGCATATGTATGCATAATTTATGAAAAAACGTGATCTGAATTGGGGAAACAAAACATACAAGCTGAAAGGTCTATTTCTTTTTGGCATTTTACCGGTGTGAGCATAAAACTAATTATTACAAATAAGGCCTTTATTACTTTGGGTCCAATTGTTATTACAGATAGTATTTAATTCACATTCGCATAGAAGCCACCTTATGCCTCTTGATGGGTAAGTTATGGGCGAAACAAATTTGCATAAGGCCAGTAGGGTGAGCTGATACGCCACTTGCACATCTCCCATATGCACCTTATTTGCCCCCCAAAATTTGGCATAAGAATTGTTTTTAATTTCTCTTGGAACGGCTGTAATACCCAGGAGAAATGAAAAAA